CGGACTACACGCCCAAGTGCCAATTTTCCTGTAAATGCAAGAAAGGCGCATATTTAGACCACCGCATATTCCGTGTAATGCCGAAACGCTGGACTGAACTCGACAAAAATGTGGGAAAAATGTGGGAAATTTCCCCGGAGTTTCCGGGAAATATGGGAAATGGGGAAAAATCGCTTTTTTCCCAAAACGGACAAACCCTGAAACGAACATTAGCTGAACCGGCTCGAGTCTGAATAAGATCCTTTTGCCTCTTTACAACTTCGGTCAACCCTTTGATAAGGCCTTCTAATTCAGCAAAGGAAGCACTCATAACCACTTACAAAAATAACCAATATAAATAGGAGCAAACGTGTACTTCAGAGGGAATCTTTTCGGACAACCAAAAAGCCAATTTAATACTCACTAAAGAGAGGGTTCTCGGTTCCAGTACCAATGTAACAGGTTGCCCAGTTGATAGTTAACGCAACTAATATTGTTACGTTGATAACCTTATTTTCATATGAGTAGTTCAAGGAATAAAGTGTCTTCGCCTAGCAGTAGACACATTACACAAAACGCTAATGATATCAACAACGCACAACTCAGACTGTCACATCTGTACTACTCAGATGGTAGAACCAACAGTATTTAGCTATGTCAGCTACTTATGAAAGAACGAGAGGAAGTAAGATAGCAAGATTGAGTATTTGCAACATCCTCTACACATCTTATGTTGTGTTGAACAACGCCTTGGACAAGCGTTAGATAGGAGTCGACTTTGGCACCCAGCACCTCAAGGGCGTTGTACACTGTACATTGGAACCCAATTTTCTATAACTAGTGATGGAACTCTTCCACGTAAACTTGATCATCGCAGAATCCAACGGAACTTTTGGGAAATTCTCATTGGTTTTTGCACACTCCTACCCCGAATTCCTATAATTAACTCTGAAAAACTTCTGAGCTGCTCAACTGAGGAAGTCGAACATATACCCCTCCAACACTGATCATTGGTTTTGCCATTTCGTTTCCCTGGTCCAGACTAATTGATATCCAAATTTCGATGAAACGGGTACTCCAGAGTTTCCTATAGGACCTGCGCTGATACACTTCATTGTTTTATTGATGGTTTCTCATGTATTTGAATATGTATACCTACCAGAGACACATCTACCTTTTCCCCCTCCATCACGACCCCAGGGGATAGGCCTCACAATACTTTTTAACAGCCACCACCACCATCAATGATCCAATGTATCAGACTTCCCACAACCCCTGGGTAGAAGCATGCGAGGACAATTCTAGATTGACCTCAGAAACGTCACCAAATGAACTCTGAATTTTAAGAAGCCAAGAAATCTATTCGTTTTCCTTGTTGTCGCTAGTACCAGCTACGAGGGGTTTTCCATAAAGACCAAGCCCTTTGTCGGTTCATCACAGATCGAAAGTCTGACATGTCTGAGGGCAGGTTGTTGGAAAGGCGGAAGCACAATAACAGCATACCCTCTGGTATCCTCCTCGAGGAGATACACATAAGCCTGGTTGAAGTTATCGTTGGCTCCAACTTCCTTGACAAGTATGATGGGACTAAGGAGGACCTATTTAACGCCTGACCAAGATTGTAGAGTAATCCTACCGTAGGATTCCTACGACAACTGCCGGCAAGTGCTGCCGAAATATAAGACACTTCTA